GCATTGTGAAGAAATATATACGTTTGGAAAAACTTAAAGGAGCATTCGAAAAAGGTCCTATTCTTGGTGAGATAATATGGATAAATGCATGAGCACTGTAATTCTATTGCACAGAGTTTGTGAATTCATTTTTACTTGCTTATAGATAAGTTTTTGTTTTCATCTGTTCACAAAAAATGTGAAATAGATTATTCTTCGTAAAGCTGTTGTGGAAGTAATTATTTTCATATTCCTTTAGCATTTTTACGCTGCTTGTACTTGACGTTTTCAAAATGTTTTGATCATGGAAACGAAGTTACGGCATGCAAAAAAATCTTGCTCGTTACTGAAGTATTATTGTTTGTGGTGCGTGTATTTTTTATCGATTTATTGATGTTTTGTGGTTGTATTGATAGAATTCTGATTTTACAATTTTAGATATTAGGCAAATCCATAACATATTCCTGCTTTATTATTTTTCCATTTACTATGCCTTTTTTGAAGTAATCACTCTTCTAGTCTTCCGCTGCTTTCGTAGACTTTCAGGCATTCATTATTGTCTCCACAAACTGCATGTTGGTATCTTTCAGATGTATGCGTTTCAGCGAAATTTTTAACGATTTAAAAAATTTCCAGACACCTTCGAACAGGCAGAAAAAGATAGTAGTGGTACGCTTCCAGCTCATATTAAGAGCAAACTTAGTAAATATGAAGGCTTATTGGACAATATGACAGCACTTCCAACGATGTGGATGGGATCTCAGAATGATTAGTAAGCTTATTTGTGATAATTTTTTACCCCTGAAAGTTTTTGTAATTTAAGTAATATTTCTAATATCATTGAAGATCTAGTAAAAGTCGTTCCATTTCAACTGTGTTATAGTAGATAATAGTGTTTCAATGCGATATCTTTAGCCACCAAATTCATTATCGGGTTTTTTTGTTGTTAATTCATGAATCGGTTTTGTCAGTGTTATTTATTCACTGTGTTTACATGTTTTCCATATATTATTAGCAGATATTTTCACATGATTTAAAATTTATTTTTTCAGTATATTTATTCATTCGGCAGTATCAAAGTGGCGTAAATGTTTGCGGCGTATAAAGATGTCTGATGCAGTTCTTTCCATTTTGTAGGTTCTAAACGATTTCGTTAATTTCATCTACACTTACTTGTTATGTTTAGTTATTATTTCTCTTCTATGACCGCAAAGAGCATAGATACTTTAAAATTATTAATGAGCAATTCATGATTGATTATCTTTTCTTGTTTATGATTAAAAGTGTGGAAAACTATTACATGACTGAAATTATTTTTATACTGAGTGGCAATTTTCCTCATATTAACAGGATCACCTAGGTATTTTCGAACTTTTAGTTTTATTAAGACTTTCTTAACTTTTCAATATATTATATATTTATGATTTGCTTGGGATTTTATCAATAAATGAGTTTTTTACTTTTGCAGACATTACAAAGGAAGAGTATTCGCTGCACTGGCTAATGGATCTGTCGCTGTTTTTCATCGAGATGCAAGTATGTTTTATTGATACATTTTTTTGAAAAAATAAATGAAATTCTATCTGTTTGTCTTTTGCCATCCTCTTGGCGATTTGGGAATGATAAGACCTCAACAATGTAGTACTGCAGGTTGAGTGTCTCAGTACAGAAAGGATAATTTTAGCTTGGTTTTTTGATCATGTTAGGACGGAATAAATCCGGAAGAGACTTTCCTAGACAATTATCCTTGGCATATCGTTTTGTCGGAAGTCTTACGCAATTCGAAATTGTGATTTCGATGAATTTATCTTAATATTGTTTTTGACTGTCAGTTCTTTTTTCAAAAATTTGTTTTTTGAATTGCGCAGTAATTTTTTTAGGTGGTGGTTGGTCTGAAGCGGGTTATCACTGTATTACTGTTGGTCGCGCAACAAGTTCAGTAAGATCGCTTTCGATAGTGGGCGATCGTTTGTGGGCTGCTTATCGTAATTGTATTATTGTCATCGACCCAAAAGAACTTATTGTGAAGGTCACCTTTATCGGCTGCATATTACTACAGAGTTCTAAGAAGATTCAAGAGCATATGGGATTTTATTATCGGGTCTGTATATTTGTTTCTGCTTTTCTTAATTATATCTTTTGTAGAAAGTTTTTGCTGCACATCCGAGACGAGATAGTCAAGTGCGTCATATGGAATGGGTTGGTGATGGCGTGTGGATCTCTATTCGACTTGATTCAACACTCCGACTTTACCATGCCTATAATTATGAACATCTTCAAGATATTGATATTGAGCCGTATGTCACAAAAATATTGGGTATGTTTGCTTTACAATTAATTTTGAATTATTTGATGCTTGTGTAGATGAAGGACGTACAGACTCAAATTAGTTGAACTGAGCTTGCTGCTGTATGTTAGTGTCGAATGTACTAGATATTTCATGCAGTTTTCAAACAATACATTGATTTTCCTCATGACAATGAGGTTATTCTTTGTAGGTACTAATAATCTAGATTATTCCTACATGCGCACCACTGCGTTATTAGCAATCTGTCGACGTTTATGGATTGGCACAGGAACTGGTGTTATTATTTCAGTACCCCTCGCTGGAAGTAAGTTGATGCTTCAAGTCTTGCCGAATTAGTTTTTATAAACTTTTCATCAAAAGATGCCGTAGTTTAATAAAAACGCTTAAGACATTCAGCACAATGTTCCCATTCTACAAATGCCTAAGTAAGTTTTATATGAAACTTGATTACGAATAGGATGTCGTTTTTTTTGTTGAATTGCGAATAGCATGTCATTTTTCAGCTATCACGAACTTCTTTTTATATGTACACATTAAATTCTTCATTTTAATTTCGAAGTTTGTTATTTAACTTGACGTGGATTAGTCCAAATGCTTATTATATAACTTTTTCCTTGTTTTCCTAAATGCTCATTAATTACATAACTTTTTCTTGTAATGAAATATGTCTAATAAACATTCAGAAATTGGAAACGAGGTATTTGCAGCTAATGAAAATCGAGTTGAAACAAAAGTAGAAACACATTCACACACCGAAGATGTACGAGGTCCAGGTGGTTTAATTAGGGTTTATGGCGATATGGATATTAAGAAAGTGTCATCAAGTACTTTTATACCATACTGTGATATGTCGCGTGCCCAGCTCTCATTTCACGGACACAAAGACTCGGTGAAATTCTTCTTGGCCATTCCTGGTGAGTCTTTTTGGATTTGAAACATGGTTAGTTTTCTCACTCATCGAGTTTCAAAACTTCGTACACATTGTTCTTTTGAAATAATGTCATATCGTGATAATATTATATAACTATATAATATTGTTTGTTAAAAAACAATCCTTAGAAATTAGTAATACCAATAATCTGTAATGTCAAGAAGAAAGCAAGGTCCAACTTTTTTCGCTTCATATAAAATCGGCATCTTTTGTTGAGCATACGTAAACAACAGCACATTATTCGTGTATGTTTAACAAACAATCACAACTCTATATGGAGCAAGAAAAGTATGAATGTTAACAATTCCGATTTCGTACTAACTTCTGTTGCTTTCAAGACCGTAAAAGAGAGATGTCATGAGTGAGTTTATTGTTATTAATAATTTTGATTAGAGTTCAGTTGATATGTCTAACTAGTTTTTTGTATAGAAATTTTTCATTTAATTTTGCATTAAAGGTGCAAACACAGATGTCTCATCAGCAACACCCGAGAAATCTCTAGATTACACTGGCGAGCTGGATAAATCTGCTTCATTCAAAATGCTTATTGTTTCTGGTGGTGATGGATATATTGACTTTAGAATGGGTTTGTATATACCTTTTTATGTTTCTGTCAAAGGCAGGTGACATTATAGATAAGAGAGTATAGATAAGATACTCTCTTAAAAGGAGACAAGATTTCGAACAATTGAAAATTGCACAACGATCATTGTCGAACAGGAGTAGGAAGAGTATAAGTGGCATTTTCTCCTTTTTGCTTATTTTCAAAATCGAGTAACTCTAACATATTTAGGAGAAGAAGAGGATGTTATAGACATGGCAAATACAGTGCAAGCTCGAGATATGTCACACCTGATTGTTTGGGAAGTATCTGCAAAACCGCCTTTTTAATGATTTGGCGGCTCACTCTTATACAAAGATTTTAAGCTGACTCCTAGTGTATTTGAAATTTTCTGATATATAATTCACTTTCGCTTGCGTTTTTATTGCTTCTTTGGTCATGATAGCAGTGCTAATCATTAAATTTGCTCCATATTTTTTTTCGTCTTTAATGGAAAGTTTAGTTCATTTCAATGTTCAAAAAAGTTGTAAAAACTCTTTTTATAAAATATGATCGATTGTGAAAAACCGATGCTTTTATAATTCAATTTTATGATTTATTATTCGTAGTTCTTTTTTTACAGTTTTCTCTGCCTGACTTTGTAGTTTTCATTTAAGATATCGTAAATGTGTGACCTTTAGCTTTATTGCTGTTAAATTTCGAAAATTTGATGAAATTTTGAATATTCGCAAAAGCCTTTTTCGAAAAAGAGATTAGAGATGTTTCGGAAACATCTTTGGTAAAAAGTATCTGACTTTTTTACAAAGAAAAATTGATGAGGTGGCTGAAGTTATTTCGAAAATTTATAATTTCTGATATAAATCGCTTATAAAAATAACGTACCTATGATTGTAAATTTAATACCAGTGAATTGATCAGCTTTTGCAAATTATCTTATCTCCGGTCTTAATTTTTTTATTTTCGATGAATTCTAGTTGCTTGGTATACTGATATAATTGGTATGAAGTTTTATGTAATATGAAATTCGATGATACTCAAAGTGAATCTGGTTGTAAATAAGAGAGTCTTATTATGGAAGAATGCCTCTTAATTTTCGTTTTCGTTTAAAGTGGACTTTTGAACATCCACTCAAAGACCCGTTCATTTGTAATTGATAAAATTAAGTTTAGAGAATTGAATTGGTGAGCTTTTGACATTGTATTGTTTTTTGCATATTTCCATCATTCATCACATATAAATAATAAAAAATCGCATTTCCTTTCGCGATAGTATCCTCTTCCGGTCCATTGGCATTCCAAAAGTAATTTTTGGGTCTGCAAAATGTCACTTTTTTCTTGCTGCCAGTATTTGACGATAAAAACAAGAAAAATTGGTAGTCTTTTACATTGAAAGAGAGTGATTAATGCTGCCAATATTTGACTATGAGAGTGAATTTGGAAGTGTAACCACGAGTTAAAGTTGGCTATTCTAAACAAAGCATGTATAAGTGAATGTCAGTAATATAAATCCGTAACTCTTTCATGCAAATGGACAACTGGATACTGTTAACATTTTAAACGAAATGATTGGAATTTGGTAGTAATAATTTAATTAAGATATTGAATTACTAGTATCTTGCTGTTGTACAGCAATCGATTTAATAAATGAATTGAAATGGTAGCTGAGAATCTTACACAAAAACACTGGTGTGATAAGAAATAACTAAACATTACCTCATAAAATTCGATAGGATCTGAGAAAGCAATAAACTCGTGACTTGTTAATCGAATTGGACGGTCCTCGCAATTCCCATACGATCCTTTATTATTCAGGCATTTTTGTCGGCATGGTTGTCCATGTTGATCGTTTACTGCAATGTTAAATTCCACAAGCGGTCCAAATATCTCCGGATTCAATGTACGTATAATAGCTGATGTTTTGCCTTGAACTAATTGTCCCTGTGAACTATGATAATGTTTAAAAACATTTTGATAATTTTTTAATTAACGGATTCTTTACAGAAATTTATTCAATTATTATAACTGCATACAATAAATACCTCGGTAAAATGATCGGATGCCAAAGTCAAGAAGTCAAGAAAAATAAAGATTGAAAATGAAATAATATTTCCATAAGTAATTTAAAAATAAACACAAAAATATTCTCCTCATCTTCCTCTTTTATTCTGAGGTATTTACCTTTTTTTATATTCAATGCAATAACAATGAAGAAATTTGGTAATTTAAAACCTTTCTAATAAAAAGGCAGTATTTTGAAATTGTAAAGGATATCGCTTACTTTGATCTTTTGCGTGAAACCATACGGCATATTTGCTCCAGTAAGTGTAATATCACAAGTAACAACAGCTCGATTTAACAATTTATTACGTTTCGGTTTCTCTTTAATAACAGTAATCGAAAAGTAGACATATTGTGAGAGGATATTGAGAGCAGCGGTAGTTGATAATAAAAATTGGCAAAGTTTATTATCGGTGGTTTCACGTTTGGCTGATAGTTTCATATCATTCATGCCAAATTTAGACGTCTTTCCGGAATCTGGATTGCTTTTTAAAAATTCTGATAGATCTTCACTGGGATATGATCTATCATATCCATACGAATGGACAATGCTTTTTGACAAATTACTAATTCTTCTGTGCTGCTTTAATTTTCTATGATAATGACTGCATTTTAGTAGTTTCTTTGTCCGAAATGTGCTGTTATCGCGTTGAATAAAATGGATCGATTCGGGATATTTCTGAATAGGAATTTTGTTAATTTCAACCTCACCTTTATTTCTCGATTTCTCAGAATATTTCTTCCTGAACTTTTTACGATTCCTATTCAGATGTTTTTCAGATAAGATTATCTCCTTTTTATCATAAACTAAATTAGAATTGTTTTCGACACTAGAAATGTTTGTCCAATAGTACTTTCCTAAATCCTTGAATTTTGATGATGCATGTGGCGTATACTTCGAAACTGGGTATTTGCTTTCCGAGATTACACGACTAGAAGATTCCGTAAGTATCGAATTATTTTCCACAGTTTGTATATCGATTCCAGTAGTATTATTTGAATTTATATTCGATGTGAAGTTCTTCGTCAGAGATATTGTTTCCGGTGGAGAGATAAAAATCTTCAATTCTTCAGAGTTCTCAAGGTTGATGGCAGGATTTTTTGTAATAGTAATATTTTCAGATAATTCCATAACATTTGCCAATTCCTGCTGATTACAGCGTCCCTGATGACATCTTGACTGAAAACAACTTTCTGAATCATTTGCGAACATCGTGCAATTACCATTAGGAATTATTTTACTAATGCATCGATGAACATTGTGATCACAGAATAGCCATTTTTTACTACTTTCACTTGCACACGATGAACATCCTTTTCCATCAGCTGAAAAATTCAATTTAAATTCTAATAGTAACACTGAATTTTTGAAATCAAAAATTTATTTCTTTTCTTTTCACTTTTTCCTCAATCACTTCTTCATTTAAATGTTAACTTTTATATTCAGACATTTTTTATAGTCAATAATTTCAATCTTTCTGACTTATAAAATGTAGCAAAAAGTTTGATCTAATTAGATAATTTAATTTGTTCGAACCTATAAACAAATAAATAAATATTTCTTGTGCAAAATATATTAACTATGTAGTGGAATGTTATATGCCAACATATCTTTTTCCAAATGTGAAATAGCAAATAAAATGTTAAAGTTAGAAATAAAAGGCTACTCATTAAAATACCAATCAATAAAAAATATATTGCAAAATTTTTAGAAAATTTGAAAAACTTACTATCGTTAGGTGGTAAAGTTTGTCGTAGAAACGTTAATAGTGCACCACTTCGGCATCTTTGTTCAATTTTGACCAGTTGCCGATCGATTTCACTTTCAGTATCGTTGACATTCTGAATTAACACGCTGTCATTTGTTGCCTTCATATTTACACTATGACGACAAAGCTCCATTAACATAATTGATGAATCTTCTGGTTTGGTCAGTTGAGCATCTATTCGATAATCCCAATATGGAAGCATCATTCCAATACTATCTTCTAATCTATAATAGGGAAATTTATGAATAATTGTAACGTTATCAAAATTTATACTTCATAATTTTTGATATGGAAATATTACTGTAGCATTAATTGAAGAAAGTGCTATCAAAACAAAAGTGCTTTTCAATAGTTTTATAAATGAAGAATTGTACGTGAAATTGAACGTGAAATAAATGAAACTTAACATCTTACAAAAATTGAATAACCTTTCGATAATTGACTCTTTTGTCATTGCTGCCATTGCTAATGCATCAATTAAAGTAACATTATATATAGATTCCTGTTGAAATTGATCGAATTTATGTTGCAATAAGGATAGAGTTATCTCATCAAGCTCCCGTAATTCTTTCCGACCATTCCATACGTTTTGCTGAATTGATTGATTTCAGATTTTAAAAAGTTCGAAATACAGTTCTTTTTCCAATTTTGATATGATAATAATGATTTGATGCGCTTTCCAACAGAACTGGTAATTTATGATTCCACATGATGGAATAAAGCACAGCTTATATAAAAATAGAGCTGCAGAGATCTGATCCAAAGAACAAAAAAATTTCTGATATTTTCTATCAAAACAAAAAAAACAACTTTAGTATCAGTAAAACAATTTAGCTCTATCAATAAGTCCTCGTTGAAATTTTTGTAAAACTTACATTTTGTAGCTCTCCGCGAATTTTTAATAGATGAATTAATGTAGCGAGGCATATCAAAGTAACAAATGATAACAGGCTCATCCTGATACTTTCAATGAAATGCAATTAAATATAATTATTTAAAAAATCGATAAATAAGAAGCGAACTAGTGACAATCTAAGCTTATCCTAAAAACTTCAGTAGTAAAAGATAACTTAATTTAAATTTTATCAATCACTTTTTCAATTGCAATTAATTTTTACTTATTTCTTAATTCTTTGTTTTCGTTGTTAAAAATTTAAAGTTTGTACTCAAATTTAAATTGGAAATAAGCGAGTTTGTATTGTTTAAAGTTTGTTGGAACATTTATCCATCCTCGAATTCTCATCCATTGGTAATATATGATAATTAGATCAGGTTATGATCAGAAATATAATAAAGTATCAAAAAAAAGTAATTCTAGAATGATACAATTGATAAGTAGCAACTGCTGCTTACCAGACGTAAACAATAATAAACTCTCTCGAAGATTATGAAGTAAATGGTCATATAATTGTGACAATTGCAAATTGTAAACTAAATGAATAAACTAAATAGAAAGTTGCATTGTAAATAAAAATGAGATATCTAATATTTATTGTTTACTAAACATAGATAGCATTGACATAGTAATATGAAACTTCCGATGATTTATTAATGACTACAACATAGCCACCGATTATTAGCATTTCAGCTAATATCTTTAATATTCTAAAATTTTTCTGATAGAGGAAAGAAAAAACATTGCAATTGTTTTGAAGATTGATTGATTAGAACTTACTCAAATACATTTCACCTTCTATTATTGAAGTTAAATGAAATAACTACCATAAAAGGTGAAAGGAAAAGACTATACTCAGCAACAGTTTAAAAATTAGTTTTAAGTTTCTTAACTAAATAATTCCATCTATCAAAAGCTTCAGATTCTTAAATTAATTAGTAATACCTTTTAATACATTTTTTACAAGACAATTTTCGATTGCAAGTTACTGCTTAATGATAACTTATTATCATTATCCCAAGAAACGATCAACAAATCAATTAATTCTGTTTACTTATTCAATTTCATCAGAGGCAACATATATTATTAACCTTTTCAATTCTTCTAATGTATCTTATCGAAACGAATATTTTCAATATTATTGGAACTGTCAAGAGCTTTTTCGGAATCAAAATTTGAAGCATTTATCCAAGTGAATGCTTGTTACAACAACTGCAATTTTGTACCATTCATTATTTCTCTTATCTCTTTATCAGTACAGTAAACACAAATCAGATGTTTCCTTTTGAAACGTTTGATTCGTGCTGACTCTATTGATAAAAACCTTATCTAAATAGGGTATCGCATATAAGATCTAGACAAAATTGTTAAACTCAAAATCGACTGCGTCTCCCTCCCCGGGATGCTTCATTATCACTTGATCAACTGGAGCTTGCTCTTAAAGAAGAATCAAGCGTGGATTAAGCATGTTATCTTTTTCACTCAAACATATATTATTAATGAAAACGGTAAGAAACTCTCGGAATTGCTTTGAGATAAGAGTGCCGACATTCTTGTACATCCGCTGTCTAATGAACAGTAGAATTCATTAATTTCTGTTCAGATGATTGAGACGAAGCCAACAGTTTTGAATATAAAGAAGAGTAGATAATAGAGTAATCATAAAATGCTACTTTAAGCAGGATGTCGTATGATACGAAAGTTATTCCCGAACAGGCACAATTGAATAACGATTAGCTGCTGATCGGAAATACGAGTTCTTTGACATGAAATGGAAAAGTTTGAAAAGGGTGCCATTAAAAGAAAGTATTGAAATAGTACTGTAAGTGCAAAACGCATACAGAGCGCAAGCTACTGATATTGTTTATTCCGAAAGACTTTATTTCACACAATTGAAAAAAAAAACAAAATAAACGAAATATGTTGGTTACACATGATAAGTATAGCAACAAAACATAATATGTTGAAATGGAAGACTTAAACTGAAATTATTCACGATTCGTAAGTAAATTATGTTTATTACAAATTTGTGATACTGATGATGATGATGGATGATAATAATAATTATGATAATAATGCCAGTACGAAGATAGTACCTATTGGTACCTATTGATAAGCAGTACCTATTGGTATCGGTGACTGTGTTTAGAGGTTCATGTCCTCTTACCTTCTTTTTTAAGACAGAACTAAAAATAGAAAATCAACTCATTCACATCTTCGCATTTGGAAATTGCAAAATACCCCGCCGATGGAGCACATCTGTTTCTTCTGCTTCTTTTGTTGAGCAAACTAAATTAACAATTCTCATCCATCCATTTTAGCATTATTTATTACAATACTCCATACATTCCCCTACAATTTCATCGATATTTCCTGCTCGCCGCATTGTGTACCTCTCTCACCATCCGATTTCCCGATTCCTACCATAACTCATACCGTCTCTCAAATTCATCTACAGTCCAGTCTTGGCTTATGCGGGTAGACCGCGTTAAATATTATACAAATTTTGAATTTAAGGTATTTTCTTATGATGGTGGGACGGTGCGTTTCAACTGTTTAAGGCGGGTTTTTTCTTCGCTCGGTACTTCCTATGCGCCGTTATTTCAGTGGAGTGTCGCTCCTGGAAATATCGTTTAGCTCAGGGATTGTAGATATATGCATGATACGCTAAAACTGATGAGATAATGAGAATGTCATCTTTTTCTGTAATCAACTTTAAGGTGAAAGTTTTCTTACATAATTCAATGAACAACTAATCATTCATACCAGTAAATCTCATCTTGATTTACTCTGCGATGTATATCAAAGAGGTATGTTACAGTATTTCCTGTTTGCATCCTATTTTTATTTACTGTTTTTAAGATAAACGATATATTTAATAAACTATGCGCTTAGACGCTTAGATCTTTATTTGTAGTTTGGATGGTTTGCTTTTCATTTTCAACTTTAATTGGTATCATGTTTGCTATTAATATATTAAATGGCAATTACAGGTAAATATAAGTGGATTTCGTAGTTATCGCGAAACAACAGTCAATGATTTCTCACCACGACACAATGTTGTTGTTGGGCGGAATGGTAGCGGGAAGAGTAACTTTTTCTTTGGTAAGTTTGAAGTAAGAAATGTCCGACTTTGTTAATTGAGATTAAAAAATGTCCGATGTTCATACATCTTCAAAGTTGTGGAATTATAAAAGGAGGAGATCTCTCCTAAGTTACTTTGCAATATAATTTTTCCTCCATTCAGTCATCTTCTAAATTTTCTTTTTAAAATGTGATAACATTTTCTTACCCTTACTAAATAAATTTATTTCAACAAAAATTAGATGTTAATGTAAATATTTGGGAATAGTTGTATCTTGGTAGTGGAATGTATAATTTTTAGGAAATGCTTCTTACATAGTTTAGTCAAAGTTGGATGTTCTCCTTCCATTCTTCAGTTTTGCATAAAATTTCTTTATCTACGGCGTTAAATCCCAGCACTTTCAAATCTTCTATGCTGAATGATGGAAATTTTATTATTATGTTTCAGCTATACAGTTTGTGCTTTCGGACGAATTCAGCCATCTTAAAGCAGAACAAAGGCAGGGTTTAATTCACGAAGGTACGGGAGATCGTGTTACAACAGCCAGTGTCGAAATTGTTTTCGACAATGCCGATCATCGAATTGTTGCCGTTAGTTTGCTATTAGCTTCGGTGGCTAAGTATAAATGCTTCATGATCTAACAATATGATTTTATTCATAACTATACTTTTGTCTTCATTTGCTTTGAATTTAGCAAAATTAATTCATTTCTTTCAGATTGAAGCAAATGAAGTGCGTGTTTTACGACGTGTTAGTATGAAAAAGGACCAATATTTTATCGATGCAAAGTTGGTTGCTCGTAGTGACGTGAGTTTGTAATGAGTTTATAATCACTTCATTCAATTTTCTGAATGTTTTGAGAAGTAACGAGTTTTTTTGAAAATTTTGAGCAGTTTAATATCATTACTAGGTTGTGAACTTGATGGAATCAGCTGGCTTTTCCCGTTCGAATCCATATTATATCGTGAAACAAGGAAAAATCAATGAGTTAGCGACATCACCTGATTCACACCGTTTAAGATTATTGCGTGAGGTTGGTATAATTTATTCCCTAACCTTCTGTTTATGTGCTGTTATTCACATTAAGAAATTTTATATTTTAGGTGGCAGGAACACGAGTTTATGATGAACGAAAAGAAGAAAGTTTGAAAATATTGCGGGAAACAAGTCTGTTCCACTTAAATTAAAAGTTCTATGTTAAACTGATTTTTTTTTAATTGGTTCAATAAATGGAAAACTTACAGATGCTAAAAGTGAAAAGATCGAGACTTTACTTGCATTTATTGAGGAACGATTGAAGACTCTAGAGGAGGAGAAGGAAGATTTAAAGGAGTATCAAAAGTGGGACAAAATGAAAAGGTTGCTCTGTGTTTTCTTTCTATTTCTCAAGATAATGCATTTCTCTTATTCAATAAGTAAAGTTTGTATTAACTAGTCGTTTATTGGTCTATTATATTTTGTTCGTTTTTAAATTTACAGGCATTAAACTTTGAATATTGTTGATTCATTTTATAGATCTATCGAGTATATGATATATGACAACGAGTTAAAAGAAGCTCGAAAGAAACTGGATAAGTTGGCTGAGCAACGTGAAGAAATGAACACTCGACAGAGCAAGGTTTCTTACTTAGATTCACAAATTTCATTTGAATCTTCCGTCGCAGCTAGAATGTTTAAATTTGTACGATTTGGTTTGTATTTCATTTCCTCTAAAATTTTGTGTTGTACCTATGTCTGCAGGTTACAAATGACTTGCTAAACGCTCAGAATCGTGCTTTACAAGCATCGGCAGAGCAACGCAAATTGGAAGCACGTTTTAAAGGAATGCGGGAAGAAAAGGAGGCGCTTTTAGCAGAACAGACCGAACGTGTGCAACGAAAAACTGAATTGGAGCTCTTAATCAATGACTTGCGCGAAGATGTAGAAAAAGAACGCTTTGGAAGGGTAAGTTATTATTTTCATCGATTTCCTCCGTT